GGATATCAGGTAGCAGGTCCTGGAGACAGAGAGGAGGGCAGCAAAATTCCAGAACATGCTCCAACAGTGAGAGCCTGCTGAGTGGGCAGCTCCAGCCGCAGGCAGAGTGGCTCCGCAGGTGGCCACGAAGAGGTAGCATCTCCAGCAAAGGTGTCAGGTATCCTGTGTGGGAAACCACCCAACCTCAACAGGCAGTAGGCTCTGGGAGCAGGGCAGGGACTAGGGACCCAATTTAAGGAGTGGGTCCTCCTTGCATATATCGTAGAAAAACTGATCGTCTATTCTGGCCTATTCATTACTCAAATGATAGGCTAACATGGCACAGCAGTGGGGAAGGGGGGGTGGCCCGGGGACCACTTCAACCATGAAGGATCTTCAGCAACACTGAAAATGTCCTGTACGCCCTGGGTCCTAGGGGCCTGCTCCTCCCTGTCACCATAAAGAGCCCAATCAGACACCTTTTACACATGCCTAAGTGACAGAGAAATCTGAGATTGTATTTTTAGCTCAGCATTTCCCAAACTGTGTGCCTTGGAAATGGGTGACCATGTATCCCAGTTTGCCAAAGACAACCCTGGTTTACGTATGTTGTCCTTGAATAGTTAATAGTGTCCCATTTCATTCTTAAAAATGTCCTAGTTTGGACAATAAGTTAAGTGATCACCTAACCAAGAAAACTGTTTCCAGGCATATTAATAGCTATGTAGTCCTCCTCAGAACCTGTAGCGTCCCAACTTACGCTGCAAACCTTGAAGAATGAGATCTACTAAAAACACTATTTTGATCAAGGAACTTAAAAGCAAAATATCTGTTATCATCTTGTGTAACTACCATTGTGTTATATACAACTTAGAAAATATTGCATTAAATAAAATTAAACAAGTTTGGTTGTTGTTGTTAGAACATATGGTTTCACAGAGATTTCACACAGGAGCACGTCATGAATTTCCAAGAGGGTCATATACTAGGCAGTTTTTCCAAACTTATTTAAACCTAAAATCATTTTTAATGAAATGTCAAGAGAGCAGTGTTCCACAAAACGCTCCCACATTTTTGTTGGACAAACGTGGGCGCTCCAGGTCCTGGGGAGTCAGCAGTAAGATACAGTGCGCGTCCTCATGGGCTTTCACTCTAGTGAGGCAGACAGGCAATAAACCTGTAAACAGATCAATAAAATGTGGAAAGCGATGATCTATCCCCCAAGCAAATGACAGTCAAAATAAAACCCGCAATTCTGAGGAATATTCATGAAGCAGCAACCCACCTTCAGACAGGAGTTGGCAATGCTTCATGTCTGTCACAAGCCATCAATGGGCCCCATGTCTCCTGGGCAGTAGATATTCCCTTAACAAATCTCCCCTCCTTGAACTGACTGGACTTCATTGAGCATTCTGGTTAGTACACGTGTGCCTCTGGGGGGGAGTCCGTCTCCCTCTGGCTTTTGTTTGTGGACTGTATTCATAATTTGTGCTTTTAGGAGTTTTTCCTGTTGTATCTAAGGTGTTATTGAAAACAACATCACTTTCAAAGAGATGTTTATAGTTGCCTAGCACCTGGGGAATAAATGAGAACAAATGGAGAGTTATTACATCCTATGCCATACATCCCACCCCTTAGGACTGGGATGAGGGACAAGGAGGTGCTTTAGGAAAAAAAAATACATGCGAGCACACACACACACACACACACACACAAACTCCTCCCTTTGGATTGATTCTGTGCAGAACAGAGACTCATATTTAAATGAATAAGCCAAGTTAAAACTTTCCCTCCTGGAACAAAACAAAAGGAAAGCCTCTTTATGTTGCAGGGGCCTTCGATGCCACGGCTGAGCCTGTCCCAAAGCTTCCCTCCACTGCTCAGAAACTAAGCCATCTTGCTGCATTTAGCACTTCTCACCAGACCACCCACCCGGACGCGGATACACAAACCACATGTGTGAGGAATGCTGTGCAGCTAGGAAATCAGTATCAGCATTTCAACCTTATTACTTGCACAGACGGCCTTTTTAGTGAGACTCATTTGTTTTATCTTTTCAATAGCTTTGATTATTTTCTTTTAATGGCCTGGATTTATCCTTTTCTACTCTTTTGAAACTTCAGAACTCTGTGCTGGGGGCTGCATGTGGTGGGAGACATGATTACCAAGGGAAAATGAGCAAATAGCTGCGCCTTTACTCACCATCTATCTCCCCCTCCTGCGGCCACCTATTCTGGGTAGACTGCCGAGGGCCGGGAGTTAGCACACGGTGGCCCCCAGGAGCCTTCCATTCTGGTGGTAGGTGAGTTTTGTTGTTATTTAACAGCGATTGAGACGGTTGTGATTACCGGGCTGGTTTTTAGTTTGTGCCATGTACTTCCCTTCCTAGCCCTCAAGTACAGTATAGGTTACCCTTCTTTAATGAGGGGGAAATTAAGACCAAGAGGCTGACAGCCCAGGGCAAGTTAATGGCCTCTGGAAAAGTCTGGCATGGACTCTAAAGAAGGGGCCACATAAACAGGAAGGTGTGGATACTGTCCCCTGGCAGAGGAAGCAGAGCCCGGAAATACGCTCAGGGTATTCTATCTGGGTGGCATCCTGGGCAAGGAAACCAATAAAATACGCATAGTTGCCCCACTAATCAGAACAAACAAGACCATTGGTTTTGGACACTATGTCCCTGAATTACCAAACAGACAGGTCTGGGTGTCAGGACCCAGTTAAGCTTCCGGGCCCACTGTGTATCCAAGTGGGAACACAGTCCTGAGAGGCAGAGGGACCAAGGTATTGGGAAAGACTGTGGCCCACAACATCCTGAGTCGTCCACAGGCCCCAGATGCCCATCTTGACTTTCTCTGGGCTGGAGAAAACGCAGGGCCATTCTTTTAAAATAAACAAAAGAATATCTACACCAAAACAAGGGAGGAGATGAGTCCACTTCAAGCCTGGCTGTTAGGAAGCTTAACTGTCAGCCCAGCCCATCTGGGACTGATGCGTCCACACCTAAAAGTCAGGTTCTAGCTGATAAGAGACAGGGCAGTCCACTCTTATCTCCTCCACTGCTGTCAGCCTGAAGATAACAGTTTCTCAAATTTGATGTCTCTTTATTATTAAAAAGAGCCTTACATCCAATTCCCTGGTTATCTGCCAAACTCAAAGTATTCTATTCTCTTTGTTGAAGTAGCTTTTCTCCTTCCTGTCTAGTTAAGGCAGCGTTTCTTGCTGCTAAAGTCAACACAGGACCTTTCGTCAGACTGACTCTGTCCAGCAATAGCAGGCTGTTTAGTTTATGAAAAAAAACTTCCAGATAAATAGGGGAAAAGAAAAAATATCAGGCACAAGGAACTTGATTTATTCCAAGAATGTGTGCCACCACTTTTTGCCCAGCTCTGCAGCACTTACAAAACATACTGGTTTTAGGACACAGAACGTGGTGCTCAGACACAGGGATTCAAGCACTGGCAGTGCCTGACTGGTCTGGTCTCTGCACTCTCTCTTCCAGCATCTTTCTTGAGACAGGGTAGAGGCCCATTTTTCTCTGTGCAAAGCAAAACCAAACTTCGGTCAAATGACTCTTCACAAATCACTAAGACTATACATTCTAAAGAAACTGGAGCCACAATAGATATGAATTTAAGTAAAACACCTATTTCTGCCCATCTGTATGTACATTTCACCATGGGTTTTAGCAATGGGAAATACATCTTATGAATGCCTTGGGGTTCACATAACAGCATCTACACACACATACACAGGGTATCTTTCAACCTTACTACACATACACACTCTATTTAAAAAGATACTGACAGATTTATAAAATGTATTGGCCTTGCACTATTAATCTCAAGAATCCATTTTTACTTAATTTATTTTTGCCCTGCATGGTAGCTCTGGCCACCGTTAGGGATCTGTCAGCATTTCCATCATAACTGTATTTTCAGAATACTGGAATAGAAGTGCCAAAATACATATTTACAGTTTACAGACAGTGGTGACTTTGTCGTCCTCTTAAACTGACTTCTTCGATGCATCTTTATAAGGAATATTCAGGGATGGCAGTGCCCACAAGATAAAAAAGCATCATATAAAACAAGAGGTCAAAAGATGCTGACGTCCAGCCCAAGGCTAAACCGCAGGGATTGACATTCATTGCAGCTGTAGACTCAATATCACAGTCAGAGTTTTAGGGCAACAGTCCAAGCAAGTTGAAAGTCTGTGTGTGTGCAGTGCAGCGCATGAACACACACAATGCTAAAGGGGGACAGTAATGAGCATACAGAAAACTACTCCAGAGCGGATCACATCCACAGTGAGAAAAGTGAACACCAGCCACCAACACAAACACTGACCATTTCCAACACTGAACTCCAACTCTGTTACCAGGGCAGAGTTAAAACATTGAAGAATAAAGTCTCTCTTAAACACGTATGTTAACTCGTTAACGTGTATAGGGCTTCGAATGGTATGCAGGTCTGAACTGTCTTTTATGAAGATTAGCTGAGCCTGTCGGAGGTATCTGCGGAAACAGTTTTGGTGGAAGAAAACCAGATGGATTGGCTCTTTCCACAAAAAAAGTGCACAATTATTCAGATTAGAGAGATTTGCTTAGCAATTTTAAAAGGTTTAGGACACGCTCCTATGATTTTTTTTCTTCTAGTGTCCTGATATTCCGTTTTCATGGTCTTCCCTACTTTGACACAATCCGCAGCACATATAGACATACCTAGCTGTCTACATAGAGAGGTGGATTATGGTAAAGAAACAAAGTCACTGCAAACATTGTTGTTGCTGACATGACTGCCATCTGCCATGACAGAAACACCCACTCTCGTGCATAGTCTGCTGCAACATCAGAGGCAAAAGCTAATTTATTAGGGGAAAAGTCCTGTACATACATTCCCTGCCCCTTCAAATTACTGGGGGGAAATTTAAAGTAAGTTTATCATATTCTGTCTGGTTCAAACCACATTCACACTCACCCAATTAATTTTATTTGAAATATATATATATGAAATTAAACCCTGCCATTTTTCTTTTGTGCTTAAGAAACTAAAGCCACTGTTACGATACACGTGTGCCAAAAACATTTTTTAATAGGTTTCAAAGGCATGTGTATATAAATGTGGCAGCAATGAGTGGGTGACTTGAAGAGAAGCATAACTATTTGAAATTAATTGAAAGGGGATTTATTATTTCTGCACTTATAAATTAGATGAGAGCAAGAGTCTAACTTCTAAAAAGTTAACAATGTGACTCTTATGCTACTGGAATTTCATAGAAAGCTCATTTTGCTGTCTCCATGAGTTGTGGATGGTGGATAGGTTTTTCTGAATTTTGTTATCAATTATAAACTTACATCTCAATGATGTTTGCTTTATTACCTAAACTTTACATCTAAATTTTATCACTGTAATAGTGTCTCTTCTTATTAACTTTTTTGTTTGGTCATTTATGTTACCTAGTGTTTTGGTTAGTAACCTAAGGAACAAAAATATATTTACATTGCCAAATCATAGTTTTTGCCACACAATTTCATTACAAAAATAAAAATGGCCCAAACTACCTATGTACATTCCTGGTTAAACTACACAGATATTTTAGTTAAACCACATACATTTCTGGCTTAATTAGAAAATGTGGACTAGCAGTTAGAAACTTTAAAGAGAGTTTTAAATTTTGCAAATAATTCCATATAAGCATTGCCCTCCCCTTTTACCTGTGAGGTACAAAAACAAAAAACAAACAAACAAAAAACACACAACTAAAACCACGTAATTGGTCAGTCATCTAATGTTTACAACAACTCAAAATTTCTCCTAAACATTGAGGAGTGGACTAGACAGCAAATGCTTCAAGGACGGCTCACGCCAAACATCAAACATCACAACATTGTTGGAAACACACACTGTCCCCAGAGAGGATGCCTCAGAGAAGTCACTGCCAAGAAGCATGGCTGTATTACTTATTAAAGGAAAAAATAGTGCTTTTGGATAGAAAGAAACAACGTTTAAAAATCCCCTTTTTAAAATGCAGAAATAGCTCCATTATCCACCTGCATTTACATTACTGTCCAAAAGAATGGGTCTGGAAAGACCATTTTATGTACAGACAACAGTTAATCTCTGGATGAAAAGACAGCATCTGGCATGGGAATAAGCAAGGGACACACTGGTCTGTTAGCACATAGGGACTTTCTTAAGGCTGAGCCAGGGAGCGAATCTTTGGATCCAGAAGTATTTCTTTTCTTCCCAGTTGAGTTTCTAGAAAGATGAGCTGTTCTCACTTTGCATTTCTCCATTAATGGAGAGGATGGAATAATGACGCCAAAAGTACTTTTGTTTTGTTTTTTTTTTTTTTCTTTAAAAATAATTTGCTTTCTTTTGCATGCCACAGGACAGATTTCTAGTTTCAAAACAGGGTACATCAAGAACAAAAATATCCCCCCTCCCCAACCATCTTTATTCTCACCAATACAAGAAATCCTTCTGGAAACATAAGCAAGTGACTAAACAGGTATCAAAACACTGAATCTACAAGTTCATACATAATCTGTTATGGCAGAATAACCAAGAATTTCCCCCAAAGGAAGATTTTAATTTTCCAAATACAAAAGAGTCTAAGGGGATCATGTGAGAACAAACAAAAATCTCTTATTCCAGGTTTTATGGTAAAGATGAAGAACACACTGGCAGCTGAAGAAAGCCGAAACTCTTACTAATAAATAGATCCAAATTAAGAATTTCTACAACATTTCTTTAGAAAACAGAACCAGAATTCCTCTTTTAAAAATGACGAACCTGTGGAATGCCTTAACTTCCATATCCCTCTAATATTATAACAGTAAAACAGACACACAAATGTTGATATGACAGCTCAACAAGGCTGGATGCGGGACGTTTACATGTACACTTTTGTTTAAAAGTCCTACAGGTTTATTGACTAAGGCTAGACAGCAAGTCATGATCCTATTTGGTGCTTCTTCTACCATGGTCCAAGATCATTGTATGGATACAGCCAAGGACTGGGCCCCAACTTTCAGGAAAAAGACCACAAAGAAGAAAATCAGGGTGGTTATTTGGTCCCCCCCACCCCAAGTTGATCGTTTGTGTCCTGGAACTGGAAAAACAAAAGGTGGAAAATACAGACCGCAACGAGTTAAAGGAGTTGGAAAAAGTTGCTGGAAAGTGGCACGGTATACGAGTAAGGTCACTGGGCTTGGGATGGCAAGGGCGCTGCATTGAAAGAGCATCCACGGGACCAAGTACTTGTAATGTCTTGTGGTGTCATTCCCTCAACGACTTTAGGATATCTGTATGCGATAATAAATAGATCAGTTATGTAATAAGGCAGTGTGTTGAATATGCATTCGTCCTGTGGGATGAACCGCCACAGAGAGAGATACATGATACCATACACATTCTTTAAGTTTTCTTGTGTTGTGTTTGATTTGTTTGTTTTCAAGGCTATCCAGGCAAACTCTTCCCGGGGATGTCCTTGTAGAGAAGAGTGGTCCGCTGAGGCTGGTTTGCTTAACCTCTCCTTTATCAAGAGATGATGACTGGCTTTAAAGAAAAATAAAGCTGAAGGTTGTTTGATTTTTATTTTTTTTTTCCCTTTTGGTTGCATCATTCTGAGTGTTTTCTTATAAACAACAACAAAAAAATATCACAACCAAAAAAAAGACCCCAATAGTTTTTGATGCATCCAGTTGTTGTATCCTCAGGATGTTCCAGATGTTTCCAGGTAACTCTGTAGTTTACGGACTGTGGTTTTGTCCAGCGAGCAAAGGTCAAAATCAAATGTTGTGTTTGTGATGTGAAAGTGTCCAGTTTCTTCTATAAGGTTCACAATCTAGAGGAATAAAGAAGAAAAAGTTTGGGCAGTAAGAAATGGACATTAAAAGGCAAATACAGAGAGGTGGAGGGGATCAATACGGAACATTTGACAAATATAGTAAGAAGGTCCTATGCTGTTAATGGCACCAAAGTGTCCCTTAGCCAATTTGTAAGCCAAAGGAATATGAACCCTTTGAAATTCTGAGTGAGAGAAGATTACCTGTTCTCATCATTCATATCCTTTAAACTGATTCATGCTTTCAAGTAATCAGCAGATTATTTTATTATAGGGGTGAGAATAGGAGTAGGTTGTGAGGGAAAGATAGAATTTAAAGACCCCTTTAAAAATTAGTAACTGATTCAATGGACAGTGATTGTACCTACTAGATGTATGGAAATTCCAGCCTAGAAATAACAAAGCTCCTTTATTTTTTTAAAAAAGTATACAGTGTGGCTCAGTTGGTTGGAGCATTATCCAGAACACCGAAAGGTCTAGGGTTCTATTCTTGGTCAGAGCACATACCCAGGTTGTGGGTTTGATTCTTGGTCTGGGGGCAACTGATAGATGTTTCTCTCTCACATCTCTTTCTCTCTCTCTCTCTCTTCCTCTTTCTAAAATCAATAAAAAAAATAAAATAAAAACTATACACACAACATGCACACCTGTATCCACACATATATACAATGAACATTTTTGTTTCTGATTACATTACTGCTGAACTTTTAGAAAATACAAGAACCCACAAAGAAAAACATGGAAGCCATCTACAATTCTGCCCCCTGAAGATCAGGGGTATGGAGTGACTGGAAGGAGGCTTATGAGAGCCTTCTGGAACTGTTTTGTTGGTTGGTTTGGGTGATGGTTATAAAAGATGCACTCACTTTGTTAAAATTCACATAGCTGTACATTGTATTATATTTCAATAAAAATGAATAAAAGTCTACATTTATTATTTATAGTCATGCTCGTTGATTCCCTTGAGTTTTTGGGGGTGATAGCTATTTACGAGAGAAAGAAAGAATGCCTACGTCTTCCGTTTGGAATAGTTATACCTCATTTCTTATTGCATTGGCTCCAGCTTTCAGAAAGACCTATCGAGCCTCCTCCAATTGCTACACAACTCCAGACCTGGCTGTGATTGCCTTATTCAACCTCTGAAACTATTTTTACAGATATAACTATTGGCTTAACAATAACACAAGTTACTCCCACTGCAAACCCATGACATACATAGCAAACTGCCTACCCAATTCCCTTCTTCTTTACTTACAGAAGCTTGATTTTCTGGGAGTGGTGACACACCCAGCTACAACGCCTGCCCCCCCCCCCCCCACCACCACCACCACCACCATTCCCCCCCGGCACTTGGCTGATACTGCTATTTAAATTCATTGTTCAGAAATCACTGGGCTTTCAGGAAAATTTTAGTAAAGGGTATGGCCTCTGCCCTCTGCCTGTCTGGAACGAAGATGCGATCCTGGAAGTGTCGTGGCTCTGTTCCCTCAAGAGGATGAATGCAAGACGGGAAGGGTGTCAGAGCAGGATGGCAAGGAGCCCGTATCTTCAGTGGCATCTTTTAAGCCACCACACTGACCATAAAGTACCTACGTCCAGGGCTGTTATTATGGGTTTAAGGTGGAGAAGGAGCCTTACTTGCTTAAACCACTGGGCCTAGGGTTCTATTACATGCATCAAGAGATTATTAAAAGGGGTATTCCCAATTATGGTTAAATTACTATAGTCACATAAGAATTTATCAAGCAAAATCTTATTATTAACACTAGATTATCCAAAAAGGACCATCATTTTTAAAATAGTTATAGAACTTTGGATAAGTCACACACATACACATCTGTATACATACATAGACACACACCCAGCTATGCCCCCACACACAAACCTTTCAAAGCAGTCAAATACTTAGTATATATTTAACATCGATTGATTTAAGAGTACTTTCCCGAGCAAATTATCTGTTATGCTCCATTGTGTAGAAATATTAGAGAGCTAGTGAAAACGTGTAAACTTCCATAGAAACAAATTGCCTTTCAATGGATACAATAGAGGCAAAAGACAATTATTCCAGAGTGTGACTCATCTCCCCAACTAGCAGGCCAGTAGGTAAGGGACAAAGCATTAAGGATGGAGAGTCCTGAATTTGGCATATTGAGCTCTGACTCTGCTCACTACTTGAGCAGCACTGGATGGGGCGTTCTAACCTCTGAGCCTCAGTTTCCTCACCTGTAAAATGCGGGCAATGCCAGCTAACCTACCAGCATACAGTGTTGCGCAGAGGATCAAAGGAGATATGGTAAGTGAAGCTTCTGTATAAAGTGTAAATTGCTACACAGACCAGAGCGGCATAACTACGAATACCATATAAATATAAACTTATCCTTAATTATCTGGAAGTAACTACATGGCACATGAATCACCAGACCCAGTGTTTTTTTCCTATTCCTCTCATTGACTGTTAGCCATCCCATTAGCACTAAAACAGATGAGGCAGGGAAAATGCCAGAATTTAAACTCAGAGAAGACATACTTAGATTTTTAAAAAATACTTATAAGAAAACTTTGCAGGGGAAGGGAAGAAAGCAGGGAGAATGGTAAGTGAAGGAAATGAGCTGAATGGCGAACTAAAAGGAAGGGTTAAGGAAGTCCCTTGAAAATGACAGGTACCTTAAAAAGCTAATTTTAAGAAACTAGATTTCCCCTGGCTGGTGTGGCCCAGTGGGTCGACTATCCTTCCATGCACTCAGAGGTCGCTGGTTTGATTCCAAGTCAGGGCACATGCCTGGGTTGTAGGCTTGATCCCCAGTAGGGGGCTTGCAGGAGGCAGCCAATCGATGTTTTTCTCTCCCTCTCTCTCCAAAATCAATTAAAAAAATTTTTAGAAAAAGAAAATAGTTCTCTGTGACTCAACATAGCTGCTCACTAATCTTATATAATAAAGAGGTAATATGAAATTGACCATCACGCCCTCACACAAGATGGCCACCACCATGTGGTCACAAGATGGCCACCACAAGATGGCCAGCAGGGGAGGGCAGTTGGGGGTGACCAGGCCGGCAGGGGAGGGCAGTTGGGGGTGACCAGGCCAGCAGGGGAAGGCAGGTGGGGGCGACCAGGCCTGCAGGGGAGGGCAGTTAGGGGCGACCAGGCCGGCAGGGGAGGGTAGTTGGGGGTGATCGGGCTGGCAGGGGAGGGCATTTGGGGGCAATTGGGCCAACAGGAGAGCTGTTAGGTATCAATCAGGCTGGCAGGGGAGTGGTTAGGGAGCTATCAGGCTGGCAGGCAGCAGCAGTTAGGGGCAATCAGGCAGACAGGCAGGCAAGTGGTTGGGAGCCAGCAGTCCCAGGTTGTGAGAGGGATGTCCGAGGGGTCCCAGATTGGAGAGGGTGCAGGCTGGGCAGAGGGACACCCCACCCCTCCCCCAGTGCACGAATTTCATGCACCAGGCCTTTAGTTACTTCATAAATAGAAAACAGAGAAAAATACCTTTTAGAAAAAGTCACTTGATTTTAAAGCAAATAGACATGTTTTCCCACTAGAAATTCAGCTTAGTAATCTCACAGGTATTGTAATATCTCATAAGTTTCCAGAGCTTCCATCACCGTCTTTCTACATCCTCCAGAACCAGCACATCCCACCCGCCTGCGGCCATAAACACACAAAGATATAAAGGGGAACTGATCACTCTCACTAAAGGAGCTCACATTTTTATGGGCGCCTATAAGAATACATCAAGGCAGATGCAGAGACGGCCTAAAAGCAGGAGTGGCGGCAGTTGGAGTGTCGGAACTATTTGCCAAAGGGAATGGCATTAATGAACTGAGTTATTAGAGCATGTACCCACGTCCTCAATTAAGTAAAGCCTTCATAAACAAAAAATAACTGTGGGCTCCTTTCCTGAAATCCTGATAGTTAGAACATCAGAAACACAGCATTCACCCTCGTTACTCCAATGACACAATCCACAAGCCTAACAACACCCTGTCAGTCCCCGCAGGGTACCACTCTGCCAGTGCAGATGGCCCCACCTTGGTGTCAGTGCCCTGCATCACACCACAGTAATAAATGTCTCTCCAAGTAATAATAATAAAGAGAGAGTGACCACAGATAAGAAAGCAGGCAAGGGCATAGGGTCCGCGTGGGAAGTGGATGAGTATGTAAACTGCTTAACTCATTCTTCAGATGATAGTTGTTGTGAAAACACTGGTGATGGATTATTTCCTGCCATGTCAGCCTTTAGGGGGTACCACACTGGCTGGTTTTTGTTTTGTTGTTTTTTTAAACAGGGAAGATCCACTTGTTAAATTGATGACTCCTTTCCCCCAACCCTGGTTTTTCATTATAAAAAGGTAGAAGCATTATGTTTAGTCTGATTCTATTTTTTTAAAAAACCAAGGTTCTTTCTACCCGAAGCAGCCTCTTGAATGAGTGGGAAGTAGTAAACAGACTTGGCTTTAACTGCATCTGCCTCGAGTGGGGTCTGGCTGGGATAAGCTAGTCTTCCTGCAGAATGACGTGGCTATGGGCTGCAGAACGCTGTCTTGCCCTGGGACAATGTGTGCCCTACCTCGGATCACTGGCAGGCCACCAGCCTCTGATCTACAGGGGATCCTAAAGCACGGCAGGCGATTTCCCAGGAGGGAGAGGAATCCTTTCCAGCAGAACTTCCTCAGCGAGGGCTCTCCATGTTGTTAGAGGGAACACTCGCCTCCCCGTTCATCCCCATACCCCTGAAGTTATTTCTAAAAGTATAAGAGCTGTTATCTAAATTGCTGATCTAAGGAAGCCCTGGTTTTCCTCGGAGCTTTATTCCTCCCACGTAGGACGCAAATCCAGGCTCAGAGCTGAACTGCTGAGGAGTTGAGAAGTGCTCAATCTCCGTTTCCAAATAAACGTCGAGCATGTGGTTTGAAGAAGAACTCAATTATTAGTCAGTGCTGTCACTGACATCTCTGGGTTTCACTGTACCCCCTGTACTGGTCTTTTACCTCATGGGAAAGTGGCTGAAGAACAGAGCCCTCTTAATGCAAGGCTTTCTGTTCATTAAACCAGCTGTTGGGCACCAGCACTGCTTGCCCCCAGACTAAGACAATGATATTAATCACCTTCTGTGAGCCAAACAAAAGCAACAGAGTGGAGTCAATGCATTTAGCAGGAAAAGATGCAGGATGCGATCTGGGCGCTCTAGAAATGGTCTCAGGCGTCCGGTCTGCGTGGCGGACAACACGACGCCTTTGGAACGCATTCCACAGCGTGAGCAGCTCTCAAGGTGGAGAGTAGCTTAGTCCTCCATGCACTCGGTTTTACAATAGGAATTAATTAAGCAGTAAACCGTGACAGGACATGCATCATGGTATCATAATCACAAGCCTCAGCTGCACTACAAGGCAAAAGGCCAAAGACGGCGAGCTTTCAAGCAGCCTGGGAATGCAATTAGGGTGAAACGCTGTGCGGCCCCGAGTGCCTTTATGCCAGGTTAAAAATTCATAGAGATCACTCTCTCTCTCTCCAGAACACTAAAATAATCCACTTCGAGGGAAGTCTCACGTAAGCCATCTTCCCTCAGAATTCTTTCAAAGGTCAAAATAAAGGACAATGTGAAATTGGGAAGGCCAGTGACACCCCAAGGTAAGACTGTGCCCAACGACCTCGTATCCTCGACGCATGGCTGGGCTTCCTTTGTAAAAGGTGTCCCAACCCTGTCCAACATCTGTCTCACTCTCCCGAGAGACTAACTATTGGGGTCTCACTGGCACATTAATAACTTTATTGGATAACTGCTGTGCAGTGGTTCAGAGCTGGCATTTGGGAAGGGATAGGGAAATCAGCTAACAGAGTTACCATCACCATCCAGTCAATTAGCCCCAAATAATTGGTAAATGGCAGGCTGAACAACTGTTGGTTCTATGGAAGAGAATTGAAGACAAGTATTAGCAAAGTCTCAGGGTAAGCCATTGAACTCCTGCTCCCCTATCCATACTCACTTAAACGGAAATGCAACTTATACCCAATTAAGAATCCTAGGTCTGTAGTCTTTTGTTCAAATCTGAAACTCTAGAAAGGTTAAAAGCTTATCAGACCAATCAGGGAACTTGGCAAGTCTGAGAGTATTTATAGATTTAAGCAAAAACGTACACAGAATATAAATGTTACCATCAGCCATTTGACGTTTAAAGAAAACACCAACACACACAGCTGGGGTAGATTAAGTACTAACTTCAAGTCATTTGAAAGTGGTAAGAAAAAAAAATTAAACAGTGAAATAATCTAAAAACCCACCCTGGAATTCAGAACACAACTTTCTCTTTGGGTGTTAAAGAAAAAATATTTTATCAAATAGCCACTGTTCATGCAAGGGACACATGTAACTGTATGGAAACTGAAAAACACCCTTTTTATCTTCTCAACACATCAAATTGTACTCATAGAAGTTTCCTCACTCTACAAGTATTCCACAGTTGAGTTCATAATAATAGAATGTATGTTGTACAAGATAAGAGAAATGAGGGAAATATTTATTTTCCTTAGAACAGCATTGGCAAAAGGTTACTAAATTGAATCACAAATGTTTACAACACTTGACTCAAGTTCTTATCACTGTTTTCCCATGAAACCAGAAGCCTGGCCCCACAGGTTTCTATATCCCTACTATCACTCCCCTCAGCCCACAGCACAGCATCAGCCCCTCTACATGTGCCCAGTCCTCACTGCCCACAGCACCAGGGAGGGGAGGTCATCACTGCTCCAAAGCAGACATGCAGGAGGCCTCAAAAGTGAGCAGCCCTCAAAATACAGTTGAACCTTGAACAGTGCAGGGGCCAGAGGTACCCCCCTCCCCTGCACAGTTGAATATCCACATATAATATGTGACTCTCCAAAAGCTTAACCAGTCCCTTAGTATCTTGCAGGAATTTGGATCCAGGACTCCCTGTGGATACCCAAATTCTCAGATGCTCAAGTCCCTCATATAAAATGGTGCAGAACCTTGCATACAGTCAACTGTCCGCATATGCAGATTCCCAATTGCAGATTGAAAATGCTGTCTTTGATCTGCAGCTGGTTGACCCAAAGGGCCGACTGTATATTCATTGAAAACTATCCCCATGTAAGTGAAACGGTGCAATTCAAACTGGTGTTGCTCAAGGGTCATCTGTACTTTGGCAGGTGGCATCAGCCCGGTTCTGAGAGTGTGGGGCTGGTGTGGCCTCCAGGTGCTATTGCGATAACCCAGGACAAACCAGGCCTTGAGGCTTCTGGAAAGGGTTGTGCTTAAAAGCAGTTCTCACCTGCTGCAGAATGTGTCTTTCCCTCAACGTCATTAACCTTCTGTGAAGCTCTACCAGCTCATCTAGGTATGCCTGAAAGAGAAGAGTACCCCCAAGGAACACACATGTTATGAAGCAGTTCAAAAAGAAGAGAAAAAAATCAGTAAGAACAGACAAGCAGCGACTGGAGGTTCCCATCCTACCCCCACCCACGCTGTATGGTCTCCATGCCCAAGGCCTTTGCAGACCAAGTCTTTCTTGGTCAACTATTATTGTTTTCAAACCAGCTGTTTACAAAGGAGCAATTCTTGCACTTGTATTCTCTCAATGAGATTCAGTGAACAGCCTCACCTATTCACAACAATGCCTCTACAGAGAGAAGGGGAACTCTTCAATAAATTGCAAGTTATCAGTCCACTTTCATTCAAAAAAAAAAGTCTTCTATCTTAAAAGCTTCTTAACTAGGAAAAAAAGTCCAAGTTTGAACATGGAAGGACCCATGCACATTACCAATTATGTCAGGGCAAATTCTTAAAATAAAAATATAAAAAAAGCCTGCCCGGTTATCTAGCATATCCAACATTGCTAGTGAATAGCAAGTGAAAGTGCAGAAGAATGTCTATGAAAAATATAGATCAAAATGAGCATGTGAAGTGTCCAGAGCTCCCTGGAAAAGCAGAGGCGACCTCTCCTTCCAGATGCTCAGACCCATGGGTCTCTGTTAGCATAGCTGCATGGGAGTTCCTACCACCATTTGCAATGAAGGTGAAGGAAAGGTCTGGGAAGCATCAGACAGGCCTGTCCTGACCCTGCAGAGCATGTTAGGACCCTGCCCACACTGGGACACCAGCCCCAGTAGGTCTTGCAGTCAGATTTCAGATGCATGATGTGCACTCGAGGAAAGCACACTGCACACTGCATGAGGCTCAGAGGTCCTGCTCACCTACGTCTGAGCTTCCTTCACCTTCTACCTCCACCACAAGTCTCTTACCACCCAATCCAATGGGCCTGAAATCCCTGGGCAATGTAGGCATCAGGGCAAACAGTAGCACAAGGCCAACCTTAATACTGGAGGTAGCAGGAAGATTCGGAAAGAAACTACTCTCAAGGGGGAGGGGCTGGGTGGAGGTGGGAAATAGTGGCAACAATAAAAAATTTAAATTAAAAAATAATTGAAATATGCTTAAAAATAATTTTTTTTTTAAAAAAGTGAACTACTCTCAGGCACTTCTGATGAAGACAATGAGAGGCGAACCAGCACAAAAAGATCCAGGGAAACACAAAGAAACAGGACATGTCAGTGCTGTGGCACTTGGAGAACGCACTGGAAACCTACCTTGTCACATTCGCCATTCTTTATCTGCTTATCTGATTTGCTTTGCTTTATTGGACTTTTCACTTCAAGAATCTAGGGATCCAAGAGAACACTGTTAAATTTGATTTCAAGCACTTCTTAGTTAACCAGCCACCCGAACAAAGGCACTTATGGATGAAATGTCACAGGATAACATCATTTTCCAAATAGCATTTCTCCTCTATACATTTTTTTCTTCTCTTCTAATATTACTTTTTCTGGGAAAATGAATTACTTACATCTAAAATGCTGAGTCAGGGCAATAGAGATTTTTTTTTTTTTAAGTTGACAATAAGGAAATTGATCGCAGCTTCCAAGGCCGCTGCTTTGTGACAACACACACACACACACATGCACGGCAGCTGAGTCCTACTGGATTACAGTTCCCTTGGGCAAGAATTTTTTCTTATTCATTCTGCAGTTTCAGTGTGACTACCAGTGCTCCGTACGTTAGAGATGATAAAACAAAATTTCAAATGCCCTTTTTAGTACCTGACTTTCATATTCTAAATATTACTCATATTGCCTTGGGTGAGGGCTCAGTTGGAGCATCGTCCTGTACACCAAAAGGTTGCAGGTCCTTTCCCAGTCAATTCCCAGTCAGGGCATATACCAGGTTGTGGGTTCGATCCCTGGTTAAGGCATGTATGGGAGGCAGGCAACCGATATCTCTCTCTCTCTCTCTCTCTCTCTCTCTCTCTCTCTCTCTCTCTCTCTCTCCTCCCTCCCTCCCTCCCTCCCTCTCTAACTAAACATACTCTTGGGTGAGGATTTAAAAAAAAAAATTACTCGTATCCACTAAGTTGATGCAGCTTTGGAAATAAAGATGGTCATCAGTGACACTGGCTGTTTCCAACTTGGGATCCTCCAACTCAAGAAATAAAAAGCCAGGACTATCTTCTGTGTTTCAAGAAATAATGTCTTTACCCATGATAAAATACCAGGTGCCCTGCCTTTCAGGTGAACCAATTACAGCTTAGGCAACAGTTGTTTTGCATACTGTTCATAAGCTTCTCTGGAAAGCTAGGTTTCCAATTAAGAAAAACCAAATTATTATTTAATAAATACAATTGATTTCTTAGAATCTGCAAAACTGAAGATTATAAAGAATATATTTTTTAATGACTCTTGCTTAAAATGGCTAAAAATCACTGAATTTACTGTTGAGTGTTAACAAATGTATCCTATATAATAAAAGGCTAATATGCAAATTGACCGAGCGGAGGAACCATTGGTCGCTATGACATGCACTGACCACCAGGGGACAGATGCTCAACACAGGAGCAGGCCCCTGGTTGTCAGTGCACTCCCACAGGGGGAGCGCCGCTCAGCCAGAAGCCCAGAAGCTGGGCTCATGCCTGGCGAGCACAGCAGTGGTGGCGGGAGCCTCTCCCACTTCTATAGGAGCACTAAGAATGTCCAACTGCCAGCTTAGGCCCGCTCCCCATGCCTAAGCCGGCAGTTGGACCCCCTGCCCCCAGTGCACAAATCTTGTGCACCGGGCCTCTAGTATAAACATAAAAAGCAAAGTAATTTGTCTTTTTCATTATGACCTCATTATCAAGTGAGCTGTTATAATATAAAACTATTAAGGAGGAAAATACCAAATAAAGCATATTTAAGAAGTTTCATATTCGTATTGCTCTTCTCTTTATCCATTCTCTGCTTTCACACACACACACACACACACACACACACATCACAGTCCCATTCAAAGGTCTTCCACATTCCATAACACAAAGGAAATTTTTAAATGAGTCCACTTTTAATTTGTATTTGAAAGAGCCCTGATTGGGCTCAGAAACCTAAGTTCAGGTCCTAGCCCTTTCATTTAACATTTTTGGGGCCTCAAAAAAAACCAAAACGAGATGAAATGACAGAGTGAACAAGATAATGTCCAGATTCCCATTCAGCTGTAAAATTTTATACTACTAAACATTTCACCTTTTGGGGATAGGACCATGACATTCTAGGAAAGACCAAATACTTCTAGAAGGGTATATATTTCCTTTGAATTTAGAATAATGCATGGGTAAGAAGTGAGCCTCTTTCTAGCAGAGTCTTTCCTAAGAATTACCTTCATTCGTTTTTAACATTAAGATAAGCAGATGACCAGACTGACTTAACATACTAGTACAGTCCTGTTGGCAATACAAGGAAATTCCTTAGCAGCAGAAGCAGGGTTTTGTTTTTTTTTAAAAAAAAACATGGTCCACTGTAAAGGAAACCAAACACTCCACCACATTCAGAATTTCCTTCTCTCTATTGTTGTTGGAAATGAGACCCCACGGGGAAAACTCCAGCTCAGAGACCTAGGAGTAAGTAGGTCAGTAGATGGCACTCCTCGCCAACTCAGATACAGGGCTGGGCAAAGCCGCAGAGGCAATCTGCTGCGATTCCAGTCAAGAGAAAGAACCAGTGCCTGCCTGCCTGCCTGGTGCATTAGAAAACTGAATTTTGTTCCCATATCCCACCCTGCCCATTCCCCCTCCATCCCCAACTTACAGCACCCTTGGGGTCAAAGGGACTGAGAAAGTATATTTGCAACGGAACTTTGCTCACTAGGCTTGGAGAGTTCTACCACCTCCTCTTCAAAGCAGAAAACACACAGGACATTGTGAGGCCCGAAGTCCCACCCTGCACATTCCGAAAGTGCGACAGCACAGAAGGCCAAGCTACATTGAAATCCTAGTTTCTTTCTTCTGAAGCTGCAGTGGCAGGAACAAAAGCTCCGGGTGTCAGTGATCCGCCTCAAGTTACTGAGTGGCTGCCCAGAGAGGCCTCAGTTAATCTTCCTCCTTTGATCTCTCCCTGCCCCAAAATAAACAGCTTTGTCAAAACCTCACTCTGAGGGAGCTGAGCCACGCTGTAGACAATTGTTTTATTTATGATCATTTCTTATCTTTGAGGAAATGACTCCAGAATGTAAAAGTACAGCACCTTGTCTTCCACGGGCTTATTTCAAACCAGTCTAACTGGAGAGACTCTTTAATTTCATTCAATGTGCCTTGCAGGCGCATAGGTGATTTATGATATTCTGAATATTAACTCAGGTCCCATGGATCACTTCTTTCTTTCAAGGCCCCTCTCGCCTCCTGCCCGTCCGTACTTTCAGCCAAAAAGGATCTGGAACCTTGCTTTTGTTTGAAATTCACATAAGGAAGGTTTGAAGTAAAACAAACAAATAAACAAACAAAACCACACACATACACACAAAACCATCTCCAGTTCGAACAGCACAGCATTCGCTACGATTTCCTATGAAGTTGTACTGAGGGAACAGCCGCCCAGACTTGGGAGATGCGTCATATTTATACACAGGGCAGTGTCTGAAAATAGAACTCTGGTTAGTTGCGCTTCTATCCTTAATCTGAGGACACGGCTTGAGAATTAAAATTTCAGGATGATTATTATTTTCTGTATCCCTTTGTGAGGATTGACAACTCAATTTATTCAGCAGATGGATCCTCTGCTGACAGGGCATTCATGCTAACGATCTCTAGCTGCTCCTAACAATACTCGGGTTAATTACTTGCTTTGTTGACATGTGACTGTCTCTCTGTCCACTTTTTCCCCCAACAGTTAGAAAATGTTTGACTCAATTAGCACTTTCCTTCTTCCTTCAGCCCTGGGAGATTTTGAGGAAGGGTAAGGAAAACTCCGCGTTCGTTGCCTGCTAATTTACAGAAACCCGAGCGGTCATTATCCATGTGCAGAGAATAGCGAAGGGGCATGAAAGAAGGCAACTGAGTTGTCCTAGTTCAGTTAAGCCTTCCCAGTATGTTCCTGTCTATTTTATTTGATGTGAAACCTCAGTGAATCACACCCCCACACTCAAATATAAGGCTGAAAAGACATTCCAGGGTGAAATTTACAGACTTTTAGATGTTTAAGAATTGTTTACTATTTTACTTCTGAGGTGAGAGGAATTAAGGAAGACGGGTAAGAAGACTAGAAAGTTTTTACAAAGTTCTAGGACACTGATTTAAAGGGACAGCATCACACCTGGCCCACTGCGGGTGATTTGAGGGGTTAAGAAACAATATTACACCAAGTTTTAAAAAGCTTTCCTCGCTCTCAGCTCCAAGAGATGGCTCCAAGGAGGGCCATCTTGTGGTATGTGTATTTTTCTAGCCCCGACTAGCGAAAAGTGAAAGCATATGGACTTTCTTATTATGCTTATAAGCGCACGGAGAAAGTGACATATAACTGAGTATTCCTGACAGATTGATGATTCACATGTGTGAAGCTACAATTGTTGAATAAACATATGCCAAGGAGCCAGTGGTATGCTGTTTAATCGGATAAAGTAATTCTTACCCTCTCGAGATAAATGATTCTATTCATTTTTGTTCTTGTTTTGCTAGACAGGTTGCAAAAAAAAAAAAAAGGGAGCAGTGTGATGAAGAATTCAGACCTTTCACTGAAGCCAGGCTCAGCTCAAGGCTGCCCATCCAGGTAGGGTGTAGGGGCGGCTATTAGGTTTGAAAGGCAAGAGAGGGACTTGTTGGAGCTGCACTTATTTAGCAAGCACAGACTTAACCCTGACTGGGAAAGATGCTGAAGGGGCCTCGTGAGGGCAGGAAAGCAGAACGAATGTCCTTCGCTCCTGGCATTGCTGCCGCCGCAGCCTGTGAAACAGCCTGAGTCTACTACACCACACATGGGAGCTAAGTAAGATTAAATTGCATGTAAAAACATATTCAAGGTTCAAATTCTACTGTTGTGTCAGCTCATGCTGAAGCACAAGTTTAGAAAAGAATTCCATGTTATCCAGTTAGCCGACTGGTTGGTGATGATGGTTATGCCCTGAGTCTTCACTTCCCCTGAAGATGCTTCACTTGTGGTGCTGGGCAGCCAGGTCAGAGGCGAAAGCTGGTGGGCCCTGGGCTTGGCTGGCACTGGAGATGGGGAAATGCGTGAACTATAGGGAGTAGGGTACGAATAAGAACGCGCTAACTCCTTGATAGCCTGTCTGTAACAGATGCTGAGGTAGGGCTTGCACTCATATGGAGGACACAAAGAAACAGCAGCTGAACTGGAGCTGGTGAGGTAAAGATCACTGATATTATTCCTACTTAAACATGAGGGCTTTAAGATGTAGAGAAACATTATAAACGAGGAATTTTACATTTTAGGAGATCTTTGCTTATGCTTCACACAAAAGTCAAAAAGAAAAAGTCTTCAGCTGGAAAATGACATTTTCCTAACAAAACAAAGATCCAAATTCAAGGGCAAGGCCATTTGAAATTGTAGGACACCTGTGAAACAGAATAATCTTAGGAAAATGCAGCTCTTTCATTTTCAAAGTAATAATATTCACACGGTAACTTGCATTAAGCAATTATTGGAGAGGTCACTGAGAATCTACACAAAGAGACAAGGATAAGCTTCGGTAATGAGAGTTATCAACTCAATGCACAATGAGGCTTTTACAATATTCATGATTTTTTTGGAAATAGTTTATATTAGTAAGCACTTAAAATATCCCAATCTTAATCATTTAAGAAAAGCTCTTCATCATAGCTTTCAAAAGTCCTGCCTAGACCTTATCCAAACAGTTGTATTCTGAGTAAACTATCAAATTAATAAGCTTTCCTTTAGCTCAATTGTAACAACAAGGATAATGACCATTATTTACTGTGCACTTTATTAACAAACATACACTCCCAAGTGATGGTGCTCTTTTCCTGGATAAGCACACAGAGGCAGAGCACGTAGAGTAACAAACCTCTGCCATCAAACTGAGTGCCAGGTAGTTTATGGGTACTACCTGGTGCTCTTCACATGTATTATTTCTCATCCTCCTAATAACCAGCAAGGTGGGTATTAACATCCCCGTGTACAGATGAGGAAACCAAGGATCCACAGTTAAAGTTAATTTCCCACCAGTAAACTACTGTCAGATAGTAAAAGAAAGAACCAGGCTTTATATTAGTCCACAGGTCCTATCTCCCTAATTCATTAAGTCGCTTACTTACTGTAAAGGGGGAAAATATATAGAAATCAAGAATATATAGAAATCAAGAGTAAAGGGGCAGCATTTTTGTCACCAACCCTTTCCTTCTTGCATCTAATTGGCCCATTGAATAGAACATGCTTTTCATGACAACAGAAGTTTACGTAACCCTAACTGCGTGTTTATTTCTAAGGTTGTACATTACCATTTATTTAAGATCAAGAAGAACTTTGTTTACAATTAAGGGGTAAAAAGTTTTGTGTGCTTTGTAAAGTGGTCACATTTCAGTCTTGAACAGTACAAACCCAGCGACTTACCTGGTTGTTGTTGGTTTTTAATAAGGGTGGCGGGGGTTCGTGGTGTAGGGGCGAAGAAGCAGAACTGCTCTCACTATCGCTGCCATCGCTTAAGCTAACTCTGAAAAGAAACAGAGAGAAGTCATATGCATCAATACAGACGGAAATCTATGGAAACAGTGCAGAGAGTGAAGTATCTAAATACTCTGTGTCTTGAAAACGTTCTTTAATTTCTACAACCGCTACCTGAATCGATGCTTACTTTGCATCTGGAACTGTGTTGTGTGTTAACCTGCTATTTTTCATGTAATGATCCCTATTTCACAGATGAGAAAACTGAGGCTAGGAGAGACCAGGTCATTCACCTAGGGCAGTGGTTGGCAAACTGCGGCTCGCGAGCCACATGCGGCTCTTTGGCCCCTTGAGTGTGGCTCTTCCACAAAATACCACGTGCGGGCATGCATGTACAGTGCGATTGAAACTTCGTGGCCCATGTGCAGAAGTCGGTATTTTGTGGAAGAGCCACACTCAAGGGGCCAAAGAGCCGCATGTGGCTGGCGAGCCGCAGTTTGCCGACCACTGACCTAGGGTCACAGAAGTAAAAGTGGTTTCTTTAGGGCAGTGATGGCGAACCTTTTGAGCTCGGCATGCCAGCATTTTGAAAAACCCTAACTTAACTCTGGTGCCATGTCACATATAGAAATTTTTTGATATTTTCAACCATAGTAAAACAAAGACTTATATTTTTGATATTTATCTTATGTATTTAAATGCCATTTAACACAGAAAAATCAACCAAAAAAATGAGTTCGCGTGTCACCTCTGACATGCGTGTCATAGGTTCGCCATCACTGCTTTAGGGTCAAACCCAAGCAATTGTAACCCAGAGCCGGTGCTCAGCCACTAAGTGTAGCAGCCTCCTTTATTCATTTATCTCCCTGCTCCAGCTCCACCCGCCTACTACCATCAAGCAGGTCACCCAAGCTTGCAGAAGGTCAACTAAACTACACTGTTTGTAAGTTACTACCTTTTCATTCCCTTTCCCCCTGCCTCTTTGTGACAGGTGAAAATTTTACAAATATAGCTAAAATACAGATTTCAGGAGTGGAAGCAACTGCTAAAAAGAATGTGGACAAGAGCCTTGCATGACTGACAGCTCAGGAGACATCTGAGGATGGGATGTGTGAAGCTTCTCATGCTGGAACCACGGCCACTCAGTCCTACTCTGTCCTTAGGTCTGACCACTGAAACAATTCATTGGGAATATTCTAGAGCAGTACAGAGAATGTGGAATTTTAAGTGATAAAATTCCTTCTAATGTGGAATTATGCTTTAGAAAAATACAATGGTATCTTTCAACAACTAAAGACAATAAAAATAGCACCCACTTCCCTACTGTTTTCTTTTCAGAACACAACGGAATTTTCTTCTAGCCAAAGTAGGAGACATTTCTTTATTCTACTCTGCTGACTGCATGTCCTCCTTCAGAAATGCCCTTCCGTGTTTGCTCCCTCTCTTCCGTGATGCAGGAACCTAATGTAATATTCTTCTCAGAAGCACAAAACGCTTTAGAAATCTGGATGGTTTTCCTCTCTGAATAGGCAATCACATTCTAGCTCTATAATATATTCAGATAGACAAGATACAAGATTGGAAATGAAAAGGATACTGGGACAGCCTTTTAGCAAAAACGGATAGAACTTGTTTTTCTTAACTAAATTACATTAATGAAGTGTTCAGCTGAAGCGCTGCTTTAAAATGCTCCTTGACTGAAGTGGAAGGCTGAGTAGTTAAACTGATTAAGCAGTTGAGACTTCACAAGTGCAGCGAAGAACAAATGTTACACTGGCTCTGCTGTGCTAACGGCACGTGTTGGGCAGGGGAAAAGGAGAGCGCCTCCAGCAATGTGCCCGGCATCGGACGGCTCGCCAACGTGTCCGATCTGACCCACACTGACTCAGGGGATGGGACACGAAGCGAGTAGGCAATAGCTGATCACAGTATCTAGATCTTCTCAATAACAATAACTTGGGTAATTGTCTAAATAGGTCAAGTGTTTTTCATCAGCTAAAATTGAGAGCAGCCAGTGGTCAGGATTTTGATTGTTATCAATACGCTCCTCCCCTCCAAGTTTCAGTCCATTTTTAGGTCTTTTTGCCCTAGCAGTTGTCCTTCGTATAAAATTAAAGACTTCTGAAGGGAAATGATATAAGGCCAGGGCCATAAGGTTCCTTGTTTTCTCCTGTTTAAAATGAACACAGCCCTAGACGGTTTGGCTCAGTGAATAGAGTGTTGGCCTGCAGACTGAAGGGTTCAATTCTGGTCAAGGGCACATGCTGGGTTGCGGGCTCAATCCCCAGTAGGGGGCGTGCATGAGGCAGCCGATCAATTGATGTTTCTATCTCTCCCTCTCTCTTCCTCTCTGAAATCAATAAAAATATACCTAAAAATAAATTGAATACAGACAGATGAATTTGGGAGACAAGCAAGGTAGGGAAAGAAGTATTGAGGGACGCTGAGGAGCCTCTGCTAAAAGGACACTCAGAAATTACCATTTGGGAAACATGGTCTGTCCAGTTTGGGTTCAGATCACATTACTTTTAGCAATTTTAGAGCCTTCTGAATTGTAATGAATAATGGGAAAAGATTTACTGCAATATATTAAAAATGTAATTGGATTTTAAGTTCAAGTACATTCATTTTTTTTTTCTACTCAAAACACATTAAAGTAAGCATGCCTATTTGTTTTCCTCATGATAAAGAAATAAAATCCTCAAGGCAATTTCAAGCTGACTATTAATTATAAGTGACATGAATTACCATCTTATAATGTGGAATTATGCCTCACAGCATTAAAGCTACTTAAGGAACCTAATTGTCAGCACACTTAAAAGGAATTTATTTTCTGGAAAACACACAGGTGATCCTCATTTTAATTAGGTCACACACATAATTCACTGACACCAATTATGTATTTCTAACTACAAACAGCAAACACGTTTCCTCAAATTCTGAGACTAGCTACAGCAATGGATCTATACAAACTCTTCCAATGAAAACAGAGCTTAGTTCAGCAATCAGGCCTGCCACCTTGGCATATACTTTCAAGAACAAGGACTTCTAGCCTGGCCAGTGTGGCTCGGTGGTTGAGTGTTGACCTATGAACCAGGAGGGAGGTCATGGTGAGATTCCAGGTTGGGCACATGCCCTGGTTGCCACCTCAACCACCAGTGGGGGGTGTGCAGGAGGCGGCCAATCAATGATTCTCTCTCATCATTGATGTGTCCATCTCTCCCTTTCTCTTCCTCTCTGAAATCAAGAAAAAATTATATATATATTTTAAAAGGACATCTAATAGGACATTTTCCCTATAAAATTCTTAAAGGGAAAACCTCTCCCTTCTGATAAAAGGAATTAACAGTTCCCTGTAGAAGTGAGTGCAAGCATGCCAAAGTGCCCCAAGTTAAAACAAATGTGACCATTTACTGCCACTGTTTTGGTGTTTCACACCTTGGCTGTGGTTTCGCTAGTCGGTATAGTAAAAAGGGCTGGTTCTATTGCAGGAAACCTTTTTCCTCTCAAGACACTCACCTGCGACTTCGGCTGCCTCCTCTATTTACAGGTCTTTCCATTTCGGAGTCGTTGTCATTATCCTCTGCCTCATCTGATTCCTCCTCATTGTCGTCGGAATGCAGATCTTTCATTATAGACCTTAAAGGACCTGAGTAATGACAGAGAACCACAGGCAATCAAACATGCTACTTCAAACACGCTTAGCCATATTAGACGCGGGGGATGCTCACCAGCACTGAACACTGGTTAAAAATAACCATCACCATATATATTTATACAATTTACAAGACAAATTTAGTAGTTTCTGGAATGAAACCCCTGCCAAAAACACTACTGTTTTCATAATAGATGCCTTACATGTTCACTAGAAAAACTCTATTTCCTACGAATGTTTTTCTATGTATTTTCCTTCCCCCCCCCCCTAAAAAAAAAAAAAAAAAAAAAAAATTCCCCTAAAAAGAAACAGAAAGATCTATTAGTAAATTGAATGTTTTGTTAGGTTAATCCATGTATTGAAAAGTTGAGACTAATAAATCACCAGGGTTGTAACTTGTTCTTGGCAATGCTGCCTTTGTGTGGTAGTTTTTGATCTATTAAGGTTTAGCTGTTCCTTTTATTTCAAGGTCAATTTCAGGTCAAGCAAGCATTTCAGTCAAGTTCAGATTATAAAGTATTTCAATTCCAGGGTATAATGTCCTATCTCTGATCTTCATATTGATCTTGGACACAAGGTCTAGTTACAACAATTTTGTGCAGCCAATTTTTAATCTAACTTTTAAAGAAATTCCTGGCAAAATACCAGCATATATTTACATAAATAAAACTATGTAATAAAACAGGTGCCCAGAAAATTCAAGAGAGTATCTAGTATTAGACTGAAGAAGAAGAAATCAAGTCATAACTCATTTTATTCTAGACTAGAACAAAACAAAACAAAATAAACCCATAGAAAAACTCATTAGTGTGGCTTATTTTCATTTGACTACCCTACATGTAATGAACACACGAGATACTTTTAATCTTAACTGAAGAGATTGTAAAGAGAGGCACTTCCATTCTGGATTAGGCAAGTCCTAAAGCCTAATCAAATACAAACATCTGAGCTACCACTAGCTCAGTTCTAAAATAAGTCCTGACTCCACCATCTCACATTCCTCAAAGCCCAAAGTTCTCCGCTTTTGTGCTGGGCTTATGCCTTTGGAAGTCAGTGGAATGAGAAGTCTGAATAGGCCCAGTGACCAGTGTCTTTTACTTTTTCCTGGAAGCTTAGCCTTAGCCCAAACACATACAACAATTTAATCCCTTTCAAAACACACAGGCCATCAGGAATTCCGTGTGGTCAATGGAAAAGGCAATGTACAGCATGATGCTTAAAAACAAAGTATTCCTTGATATAACTTCACGTTTCATGTTTAAATTTTTTTTAAAAGGGACCCCACATTTGAAGATTTTCCATACACGAAAGTGAAAAACATATTTAATGTTCTGTTTTACATTTCTTTTAAAAATGTCTTAACATTTAAATTTCTGAGTTTGAATAACAAAAATATATATATGGCGTCCCAAAAATGTATATACACTTTGAATAATCGTAAAGGCAGTGTTTATTTAAATACATTTCATTTTCAAAATGTAATAGAATTTATAGACATAGTGTGTATATATTTTGGGGGACACCGTGTGTGTGTGTATTATTCAACAAATTAGCACTTGCCAAAGAAAAAGATTTATTAATCTGTAGAAAAATAAACAAGTAAAATGAAAGATGTCCAGGAGGAAGAGTAAAGAGTGCTTTCTCTATGTCAAAACCTTCAAGTCCAGCTTTTGCTATCACATTTCCGCTGGGAAGTCCCTGGAATGGGCTGTGTCTATAATCCTTTTGTAAAATGGGACTCTGATGGCAGGGACTGGAGAAAGGGGAATTTCTGGAGGCTGGCCTCATGCATCAGAACAATACTCAAGTGCATTCCTAGGGGAAATAAATACGACTACATAAAAGCCAAGTTATCATTCAAATAATAAAACAGTAGAAAATGGGCCATAAATCAACTCATTAAGATGTTTTATGAGAAAAATGTCTCGTTGTTTGCCTGGGAGATGCTGATACCTTGTTGCCTCGTCTGGGACGGCGTGAAGCTGGAGCTGGAGCTGGAGCTGGAACTGGCAGGACTGGGCTGTTCAGACTTTAAAGAAGAGAAAGGCATCATCAATATATTTATGGGACACTACATAACTAGTATTGAAATAATATTGTTGCTCAAAAATATTATATTCTGCAAAAGCAGCCCGACACTGCATAAGAAAAATGACAACATATTGCATTATGTCAAATACACTAACCCAGGAGAATCAGGTGTCCTTTCATTTTGACCACCATATTTTACTAGATGCAGCAACAAGAAAATAAACTCAAGGATAAAGAGATAAACACCTGGGCATTACATGAGGAAAGAACCTGGCTTTGATTTCACTCCAATGTTTACTACTATCCAGATATCTTTCTAAAAAGATACCATGATTACCCTTTCTGCAATGTTTGATTGACTCATCTGGTTAAAACACAGTGGTAATGAGGCCAAGGTCATTAGTTCAATCACATTATGAGCCAGTTAATTTCACTCTGGTCCAAGGCCATGACCCAAGCCTAACCCCATTCATCCACAGTTCACAAACGGAGGCCAATGTTCACAAGGAGACCTGGCCAAGTCCCGCCAATGAGTCAGGAGGGAAATGTTGCCACTGCTTAAGAAAACAGCCCTTTAATTCCACACAGCCTATTGATGCAGGGAAAGCGCATCAAACACAAACCTCATCCTTTCCCTCTAGTGAATTCTCCTCATCCTTTAACATCAGAACAAAGGCCACATCCTCCTTGATCCACCCAAGGACTGGTAACTCCGAGTTCTCTTCCGCCTCCACCCCCACTGAAAATACGGACCATTCTGTGCTCATCAGATATGCTGCAGTATTATGCTACTTCTGATGTGTGTCATTTCTCTCCAGTAGATTGCCAGCACTTGAAAAATTTTGGGTGGGGGTTTTGTCCTGTGCTTCTTGTTAACCCCTCATACTCAGCATTATGTACTGCATACAGCAAGCACTCTGTATCTGTGACTGAAAGCAGCACACTAGGCCCTCTGCCCCACCATATGCCAGTAAGGATGGGAAGAGCAAATACCTCTTCAGAATTATGCAAAGAAATCAATCATACCATCAACACATTTTAAACGTATATATTTAAGGCCAAATTTATTTTAGAATACCTTGATAAGGTTGATAAATCTGGTTGTGTGGGCTATTTATATCCCATTTCTAATGTTCTCACAGTCTCAACTCCACGCTCAGGTTATGTAAGAAATATTGGAGGTATGCTCATGCACAAGAGACATCTTTTTACTTCGCTCCATAGGTGACCAAGTTTATCAACATCATATGGAAGACAAATTAAGGGCACAATCAGAAGCCACTGAATGAGGATGAAAATCTCAGGTCTGTTTATACGGCAATGTCTCACCACTGATTCTTCTCATCTCCCCTCCCGGCACTGAGCCCCCACCCCCTCCGCTCCAAGCAACACCAAGCTCACAGACTGGGACACAAGGAAGCACTTTCAGGCATTCCTAACGCACACTTCACATCCTCAGGCTGGATGGGAAAACAGGTGTCAGCAATCTACCCCTCATGCTGCAGGAAAAGAGCCAGACAGGACCTCTAATGAGCAGCAGGCGGCCCACCAACCCTTCACCACGGCAAGATTTCCTTGATATTTGCAGTACAACGTCCTGCACGTTGCTGTTTGCGGCCCACAGAGAAGCGCCGGTTTACAAGTACACACGCCTGTGCGAGGCACCCTTCATGGCTCTTCCACTGTGAGGTAACACGGAGAGTTACACAGCTGAAAGGGCGTCCAGTTAGCATTTATGTGCAATGGCCAGCTGCAAAACATGTCTGTCTTGGTCTGCACAGTACTCCTTTCCCTCACCAAGCTGCTCTTTTTAGCCATGAAAAGTGTCTGCACACGGTATTATTTTGTTGATAGCTCTGGAAACCATTTGGGCGCCAAGAAAGAGGTTTCCTTCGAGTGAGGGGAGAGAGCTGATTCCCCATCCTGTCTGAACAGCACGCGTTGCACTGGACTTAAAGGAGCCACTCTGCCAGCGCTGTTTGCTAGGAGTGACATTAATGAGGATAGCAAGAGAGGATGGTGGCCATCTCTCCAACTACCCCACGCTAAACTTGAACCATCTGTCTCCAGCATCATGCCCGTGCCAGAACCAAACCTGCAGGCAGCCTTCTTTTAGCTTCTTAACCATCAACAAGGTTAATAATTTCACAGTTGCTAACCATTAGAAAACCGACAAAGAGTAAAAAACATAATACGACAGGGGGAAAAAAGGCTTTTTAAATTCAACCTTTTCCATGAACACTCTGCCTCATCCACAAAGCATCTGAGGAGGTTTATAGCAGAAGACACATTTTAAACAATGAAACTATTAAAGTAGAAAGCTTAATACAACAGAAGTGGATAGAGAAGGATAAAATGTTGACTGGTAAACAGCAAATGTCCTGGAAGCTTTTTACAACCAGGATAAGGACTTGTGAAATTTTGGACCTGTGGAGACCTTTGATGGAAGAAGTGATTCTCTTCCGTGGGCACTGAATCATCTGCCAGACTTGTTAGCCTTCAGAACTCCACCCCAGAGCTTCATTTAAAAGTCTGAGATGGGGGTGAGAACCTGAAGTTCTTACAAGTTCCCAGGTGATGTTGATGCTGCTGTTCTGTGGACCAAGTGGACTTGAGAGAATACTGATCAAATTCATAGCCATGAATACGCGTCAGAATCAGGTGGAGGGATTCTGTACATCAAGAGATTCTGATTCAATAGGTTTGGTGTGGGGGTCCAGGCATGTTTATATTTTAAAAGCTTAAAAATGATATGAAAAATCCAGATTGAACACCATTCATACTAAGCTAACCACACATTTTTTTTCTAAAGCCAAAACAAAATGTTTTTGAATATATCTTCAATTTAAGATGGCATAAAAGAAAAAAAAGCATCATGAGAATAATTGGAAACATTGATTTATCCAGAGTTAGCATCCCTGCACACTCTTCAAAGCATTTTGCAAGAAAGCACCTTGACAGAATACAGCTAACACTCAACAAAAACGTTTATAAAGCATGTACAATCGTGTCCTGGTGGACAGACTTCAAACTAACCTGAAAGACCAGGAGAGAATTCAACAGGATTTTAACTGCTCAAAAAAGCCATTCTGCTACTAGATGAGGCTGACCCAGTCTTACATTTGATCAGTCCAACAAAACGGAGCTGTAGCTCACTTACGTCTGTATTTTATTTTGTAAAAAATCGAATTTACCCTCCAAAAACACAAATCCAGGATGATTATATAAACTAGGAAAGGTTATTGGGCTTTACAAAAATCCTATATAATAAAAGTTTAATATGCAAATTGTCCCCTCGACTGCGAGTTAAACCAGGAGTTCAACCTCTTGCTATTACATGCGCTGATCACCAGGGGGAGGCACAGAACACCCTGGCAGTGGGCAGCAGTGGCGGGATGGTGGAGCAGGTGAGTGGGTGGAGCCAGGCCAAGGTGGGTGTGAGCGGGGGCCCAAACTGCCCCACCCACCGCCTCCACAGATGCCTACCAGCGACGGGGCCCAATAACTCAGGCAGACAGGGGCGTGCCGGGGCCCAGGGAGCCAAGTGCTGCCTAGGGCCCAGAGGTCAGCTGGGACCTGCCCTTCCATGCCAGATGCTCATGCTTTGATGGCTGGCCAGGTCTAGGGACCGCACCCGTGCACAGATTTGGTACACTGGGCCTCTAGTATTCACATAAACAGGGCTAGATTAAGATCTTCATAGGCCCTCAGGATTGAAACGATGATGGTACTCTCCTTGCCCTATGTGTGTATGTGCCAAAACTGAAGTGTGGGGAATTTCAATGAGGTTCTGATTTTTCCCCTAATTTGATACACGCTTTTGGAATATCAAAATTCTCCCCACTAAAAAAATGTTTTGTATCTTCTTGCTGATGCCCTAAAGCACATGCACAGCTGACCTTCTGAGTAATCAAACACTAGACATGAAGTTTCTCGAGTGGTGTACCCAAGTGATAAAAGTATAGGCTTAAGGATTTCAAATTCTATAGCTTGCTAGTATGTTTTCAGGAAGACTGCTCATATAGAAGTATTAAATTGGTATTATAAAGTAAAACTCCTAGCCCACTGCTGTTATAATAACTGATCAACCTTTTGGTGGCTACTATTATTTACAATAGATCCAACTCCTCAGTGGCCTAAACCAAGATAAAGCTTTACTACCAAAACAATGGGCCTACCAAGATTTGCAATGCAATCTTCAACATTAAGTGGCTATGCAAAATCATTTTGTAATGGATTTTCTACGGAGGATTACTTTTGTCCAAGACAAGTAAGAAAAACCACATGTTTACAACTCCTAAAAGTTAAGTGCTTCAAAGAGAACACCTGTCAAGGTAGGTCACACGAGAAGGCTTGTAAAAACCAGGTTCCAAACACTGGAAGCAGACTTCCTCCTTAGGCAATCAGAAGATAAAAGTTGTTTCATCTTGTCTAATAAGCAACTATATTTATAAACACAAGTCCAACTTGATCTTTAAACCAATCAAAATTAAAAAGGGGAGGGGAAGAGAATAATATACACCTTTCATCAGGGGAAAGAGGAGAATATAGTGTAGCAAGTAAAACAGAAATTATTTTAGACACATTGCTTCATTTCTTTCATATTTATACCTGGTTTAGGAAAACATGCAATAAAAATTATCTTTTCTTTGCACAAATATCCAGAGAAACTGTGTTAAGTAAGAGTACTACTCAAAGAAGAAAACACAAATATGATACACTTTATTTACTTTACTGTTCAATTTTCATGAGTGACTTAATTACTAGGTTCTGTCAGCTTAATCTTTCCTTCATTAAAACTTATAATCTGACACTTTGTTTTTGCCTGCCATAAAAAAACCACTGGTGCAGCCACTGTAGAAAACAGTATGGAGTTTCTTTAAAAAAATTAAAAATGGAACTCCCATTTGACCCACTTCTAGGAACATATCCCAAGAAATCAGAAACACCAATCAGAAAGGATATATGCAGTACAATTTACAATAGCTAAGATTTGGA